GCTTCATAGCCCTGTCAGAGGTCCACTGGTAGTCTGATGATCGGCGGCCAATCAACGACCACTCATTCAAAACCAACGGTCGCTTCTCCAACTGACTTTTGCAGTGTCAACCGTTACTAGTTTGAAATAACAAGAAAAAAGTGGGAATCATGCCTCCAGATGATTCCAATCCTGACAGTAATTATAAGTATTATAATTATAAGTATTATAATTACATTTAAAACATAAAACTTTTGATACTGTGGACATCTGGATTCTTGAAAGAAAAGTCTTTAACATTGGTTTAAGAGGAGCTCCTTCACAATGGATAATATCATATTTGTCAAACCATAAATACCACATAAAGGTCAATAATAATAAAATTGTTCTTATAAAGTTGTGTTTATAACAGTACACAATTATTTGTGTTACATGAGCATATTTTCCACAAAAAATTTTTTACACTTACTGCATATATCTATGATTTTTATTTTCTCATTTGACAAATATATCTTTTTGCTGCTGATTGTTTCTGAGTTTCAAATATTTTTAGAGATTTGGTTCTTAAACTTTTCTTAAACTTGCATATTGTTCAGATAATTCTTTTGAAAGTTATAATATGTAGTTTTATCTTTTCATGTTTTCCCTAGTAAGTTCTTTATAAATTATAAATGCATTAACAGCAACAAGGTCAAGGATATTATAAAAGACTTATAATGGCCATCTTCTAGAACTTGCTTTTGCCAAATATTTTACAATTTCACACAGTTACAAAATAATATTATTTCTGGTTTTATTTGCAATAATTTGCAATGGAGATGATTTTGCTCAGTTTAAATGCATCTATCTCCATCATGTTAACTGGAGTGATAACTAAGTTCACCAATCAAAATCTTGACAATACAGTAAATAATTTACTGGATTGTCTGACCATTTCAAATTACTGATGAAAAATTCAAATCAATATAGTTTTAAGACATAATTTTATAAAAAGTCAAAAGATATAATTGTGAAATCACAATAATGAAAACTACAACAGCAAAACAATGAATACAGTCAAAATAACCAGTCTGGCAGTTCCAGTTTTAATAATAAATACAGGTATACCTCGACTTACGTTGTTTCGAGTTACATCGTTCCCGATTATACGTCGTTTGTCAAAAAAGTATATGGAAAAATAAAAATCAAGTTTAAGTCATTTTATTCGACTTTACGTCTGTCCGCCACAAATATTGAAGTCATAATATCACTAGAAAAGCATTTAAAGCACATAAAATCATATTAAAATATATACATTTACAAGTATGTACTGTATTTACAGTACATGCATTCGTAAATTTAGATTACTTTTTTCTGTACTATATTAAAAACTAAAATTTATTTGTTTGTAAGCTTAAAATAGATCCTTATTAACCATACATTATTAAAAATGCATTAATAAATAAAATACAGAACCGGGAATGGTAATTTATGATTTAGCCTAGTGACGAGTAGATTCGGAGACAAGTAAATTCGACTTACGTCGCTTTCCTGGAACCAATTACCGATGTAAGGCGAGGTATACCTGTATATCATAATTGCATTGTAGAACAACAATCATTTAATCATATGGTAAAATTAATTTATCATCATATTTAAAAAAAAAAAAAAAAACAATTAAATGGCAATTCCATATGACTCATTAAAATTATAAAAAGTACAATCTATGCCCAAAGTAGATTCAAAACTGCAATCAAACAAAACTAGATAATCCTTAATATATTCTGCTAATAAATCAGCGAAACATGCTATGAAAATAAATACTGTATATCAGATCATTAATGAGATAAAATTTGCACTTTATGCATTTTGTATAATCCAATCTTTCAATAGTCTATACAATTATATTTTATGAAGATATTTCGTAACATTAAAAGCAATGTTATAGTGGAGTCTTGTTTTAATGTTTCTTGATTTAATGCATATCCCAATTATACATTCATTTTTGATTGTCCCAACCTCTATCACTCTGTAAAAACAATAGAACTTATACTTCAATTTAACATTTCTCAATTTTATGTTAAACTTTGATTTTAAGAAGTGATTTTTTTTTAACTACATACCCAAATGTGATTTCAATTTAATGTTCATAGAATAAAAGGATATTGGGTGATTTTTTTGTCCTCATTTAGAAGTTATTAAATAGACAGTTTTACTTTATTTAATAAAATATCATTTGAAAGGCAAAAAAATAATATTTAACTTGTTAAACATATTAAATGTGCAATGTCTGTTTAATTCATAAGATACTTAAATTTCAAACTCTTCACAAATTGATCAATATGATTGATTGAATATTGCCAATAGAATAATTTAAAAATTACAGTACATGTTAATATAAAATTTATAATCTTTATCATTTTCTGTCATATTTGTAAAATTAATTTCTAAAAAGCATGAAATTGATTAAGTTTCATTTGAAATTTTTTCAAGAAGAAAACAATGTGAAGTTTTTATAATTTTATTAATCTTAAATCTGAATTGAAAATGCTTCCACCTGAGCTTTAGAAGATATTAGAAAAATTGATAAAGTCTGTAAAGTCTAAAGTCAAAGTGATAAAGTCTAAAGAGTTTATAGAAATAAACAAATTTGAGAATCACAGTTACAATATGATATCTTACAAAGACTTCTTCACTAAATAATTGAATGGCATCAGGAGTAATATAATATACTAAAACAAAAATCGATTTATTCAAGCATATTTCAACTAACAGTACCCACTGCTACTAACTTGTAAGACAGTATCAATGCAAAAATACTCAAATAAATCTATTTGCTTACTTTGTATTTTAGATAGTGTATTCTGGCAATTTAGCAAACCAAAACACTAACAAGATAAGGAATTTTACTGTTTTTATTGCAGATAAAATGTTTTTTGAGGCCAAATGTCCAGGCATTGCTTCTCCAAAGTGTTCTAATGACACATACATTCTGTTTCATGACGGGATGTGTCAAACACTTTGGAGATCTGATACTGAGAGAGTGGGTCTCAATACATATTTTATCTATAATAAAATCAGTAGGACTGATCTTGTTAGCATTTTGGTTTTCTAACTTCTACTATGGAGTTGATAAGAGATGTATTTTGGTTGAATATATTTATCTTTAAATTGATTTAAATACTTTAAACAAATATTTTTATATTAATATAATAATAATGTAATATTTTCTATGTAAAATGTTCTATGTATCTTTAAAAAGTTATGAAATATATTTTATTTCTAAGCAATTATGTAAGAATTTGAATGTATCTATTTCATTTCTACGCTACAGTTCCATAAAGCTGTAGATTTTTTGGAGCATTATTAAATTTCAAATATAAATTTCTTTCAATCAACAATGAGAAAAAAGTTTCTTAAGATTCTTATTTTTTTAATAATAAATATCAATTATAAAATAACTTTAAAATAAAATAGTCAAATATTTAATTAAAAATGCCAATTTCTTATAGTTTACATATCATATTTTAAGAAGTAAAACATTAATATAAAACACAAAAATGCAAGATAATTTTTAAAATTACTAAATAAAAAATATTCAAAATAAAATAATATTTATGTATGTACATGTGCATATAATATATAAAAAATCAAAACTGCAGAACATCATTCCTATACTTTTTATTATACAGACCATTAGCATCAATATATTCAAAAGTCAATAAACAATTCCACATTTACTATTCGAAACAATGAAGCAATAAACTATTAAACTATTCAAAATAAAATAATATTTATGTATGTACATGTGCATATAATATATAAAAAATCAAAACTGCAGAACATCATTCCTATACTTTTTATTATACAGACCATTAGCATCAATATATTCAAAAGTCAATAAACAATTCCACATTTACTTTTCGAAACAATGAAGCAATAAACTATTAAACTTTAATGAATGGAATAAAATAGAAACATGAAATTGTCTACGAATACCATAATATATAATTGTATATTGAATAAATTTGCAATTAAAACTCAAAATATTTTTTTTTTGTGGAACATTGGTTAAGAATCACTGTTTTATTTAGTAGAACTTTTAGTAGAAATTTAAACTTTGGCCTTATCTGAGAACCAAAATTGCCAGCGTGGCACAGGCACCGGGTGTGCCGGCACGAAAGTTGCGTTAAAAAATGAACGCGGATCTTGGAGAATTCCCCAAAAACTCCCCCGAAGAAAAATGTTCAAACATCATACGTACGGCCTTCTAATTCAAAATGTCTAAAAGTAAGTTCTAACTTTTAGACATTTTGTATCAGCGGCACGTCATAGCTCCGCAAAGCCCAGGCAAATACGAATTAGAAGGCTCCACGTACGACGTTCGAACATTTTTCTTTGGGGGATTTTCGGAGAATTCTCCAAGATCCACGTTCATTTTTTTAACGCAACCTTCGTGCCGGCACACCCGGTGCCCGTGACACGCCGGCAATTTAGGTTCTCGGATAAGGCCAAAGTTTAAATTTCGATACTTTTACTACAATAACAAGTTCATAAAAACTCGGTTTGGGTCCCAGACAATTTCCCTTTTCGTCCGTAGGATAACACGCCACCGTTTTGTATACATATACAATTATTAAAAAATAACTAAAAGTAGAATCTACCTTTTATTTTAAAGCCCAGAAACACTATGTTACATATAATTTATATATTAAAACAAATAAATAATAAATATAATATATAGTATAGTGTTTCTGGGCTTGTAAATAATATAAAATTTACATGTTATGTGTATATATTACAAAACGTAAACCAAAATTTTTTATATACAGTCGACCCCCCTATAACACTGTTGATTTTTTCGTTTTATATGAATTCCATGTTGTACGAGTAAATTTCTTAAAATGTAAGTAAATTAGTAAATTCTATATAAATTAAAAACAGAAGTTGGTACGGACTCAATTATTTACAACCGACAAAGACGTATCATAAGCATATTTGAAAGAGATGAAAGATGAAAGATATTTTAAAAGGCAACTTACGGGTTCCAGTATTTTTTGTCCATAATTGATTACTTTAGCATGAATATCGATTACTTAACGAGTTAAAGACGATTGACGGCGCATACGCTTGCGTTTTATTCGACGGGAAACTGAAATTTTCGGAAGCAATTTTCATTTTTTGCCGCTTTTTGCTAATTTCCGCGTCGGAGAACGAGAATTAACCAAGCACAGTCGTCTGTCGGCAATCGTAAAGTAAACAAAACTGTAGCGACGGTAGAGACGTCGAGTGTTCGTTTAATGAACTAAAGATTTTTCCCCGTGTCGTCCGTTACGTCCGATTGATTTCTCGGAAATAACTGTATTTAATTATTATTTTGCCAGTTTTTCAAATTTTATTAATTCATTTAATTGGAAATTAAATAAATTATTATAATTTTTTATTTGTTTATTTCTTTCCGGAGTAAAAACGACGGAGTCCGGGTTCGATTTTCGAACGCTTTGGCCGTTTTGTTGGGAAATGTTCTGCTCCTCGAGAACGGATGGCGGGTCCTACTTGGTTGTTGTTTATGATTGGAGAGGTCACTCTCCAGTCTTGTAAAGTCCATTATAAAGGATCAACCGGAATTGGAAGGAAGGAACCGACATATTCGACACCTCTTACACCTTCGGTCCCTAGAGGCCGGATGGCCGAGCGGTCAAGGTGGCAGCCCACCGCCCTGGTGGACCCGGGTTCGAATCCGAACGGGTGCCCACAGGGTAGAAAAAGTTAAAAAAAAAAAAACACCTTCGGTCCCGAAGACTCGCGGGAGCAGTCGCTGTTTCTTCAATCGAATTCGCAGCCGCCACTCCACCCAAAATTCCATAGCCACGGATTTACTAAATCGCCGATGGAACATCCTATTGCCGTTACGAACTGTACATTTATCTAGTAGTATACAGGCTCTTATGCCCAATACTCAGTATTGTAACAGACCAAATCTCTTATCAGTGCTTCAGCGATCCGAAATACTGTAAATTTACAAATCACACAATGATTTAAAGTGATAACCATTATCAAACTGATTAATTAATCTTTTTCTTTTGTTTTTAATTGGTGGCCGGGATATCGGGCCAGAAAAACTGGAAATATGGCGAATACAGTTGACTTCCACTTTATGTTAAATTTATTTTTGAACTTATTTAATGCGAACAGCTTAATGAAAACTGAATATTTCGGAGATAGAAAGAGCGATGATTTTTTAATTTCCGTAGAAGTTATAAATAACGAAATCAATCCTAAGATTACACTTTAACAACTAAAAACATTACATGATGTCTTACGTAAATATACTTTTTTCTTTTTACTCTTTCCGCCCTGTAGGCACTAAGAGGGTTTCTTAAAGCAGGCCCATTATGGGTTCGGCCAGGCCCACAATAGGGCGACTGGGTGGTGAGGGACGGGGCCCCGACATATCCGAACGTACCACTGTGGGTACTCCTACCCTATATACCTAAATTGTTTAATTTGTAAACAAAACAATTACCACTAGGGCCAAAACAGTTACATTAAATTCATCAAATTATATTTAGTTTTACTTATTGTCTTAAAAAAATTGAATGTTAAATTGTCTTTGTTTTGTATAATCCAAAATTGAACGTTTCAGTTATGTTTCTATTTACTCTAAACTTTATAAGCATTCGGTATCGAAGGAATTTTACATAGTTAACAGTACTGACTTAAAAATAATGTAGATATATTGACTGGACACGAAATATATTTTATAGAAGTATATAAAACATACGCATTTACCTAAAATGGCCCTAGAAATCAGATTAGTCTTTGTAAATGCATTAAAATGTTGTTACCGCTAAAGCTCGAAAGTCGTTAATGTGTACATTATCTAGCTAATCTGCAGATTAACTAGCGTGATCCGTTAAAGTTTTGGAAACTGTTCCATTTCTCAAATTACCTAGGTAATGTGCAGAGTATCTAGGTAATCCGCACATTACCTACTAGGAACTCGGTAAAGTGAAAATAAGATCTTTGCCACAAATAGGTGTGCTTGTCGCAGAAACCAATTGCTATGAAATTCAAAGTGTCACCAATCTTTAGACTGCACTAATAAGTAGGCACAGTTGGATAATGTTACCTATGGTGAGTAAAATGGCGGCTCGTCTCTGATCCCAGCAAAGAGAAGAAAGGAAACGGTGGGGACGCACGTTCAAACCTAACCTAACCTAACCTATTCTAATAATTTGGTTGGTAATAATTAAGGTCATTTATTAGAATAGGTTAGGTTAGAACGTGCGTCCCCACTGTTTCTTTTCTTCTGTTTGCTGGAATCAGAGACGAGTTGCCATTTTACTCACCATCAGAGCCGGCCCTACCATAAGGCGAACGGAGCAGCCGCTCCAGGCGCTAAGTCCTAAGGGCGCCTCAGTGGTAAAGAAAATTAAAGGAAAAAATATTTTTTTTCACTTTTCGATATTTTAATTGCAAGCGTGTGGCCAGTATGTAAATGGCCTTATCTGTTGAGACGCGCGTGGGTGATGTGCGTGGGCGGGGTTCCACTCCCGGGCGCCATAATAGGATCTCGCTCCATCCTAAAACTTGCCTCAGGCCGGCACTGCTCACCATAGGTAACATTAACTGCACAATTATATCACGCGATCACCAGAAAAAGTATGATAACTTTATTATTTTTCATCTCAGGTCCAAAAGCAGGGTATCGTTGAAGTCGTCTCGGTCCCCTCAGTTCAGATAGATACTCAAAGTCCCGAAATTCCATAGGTGGTTATCTATGTAATAATTTCCCTAATTGTATTAATATTTTAAACCGTTTGATTTTTTTTATGTTTTTTAATTGGTTGATGATTGATTCTATCAACTAATTTGTTGATTGTATTAACTTGATTCTTTAGATATCGAAAATTAAATAAAGAACATTATGTTAATTTAAGCGTACAGAAACGTTGCTGTTGTTCCAGCAAAGATCTTATTTTCATTTTACCGAGTGCCTAGTAGGTAATGTGCAGATTACCTAGGTAATTTGAGAAATAGAACAATTTTAGCAACTTTAACGGATCACCCTAGTTAATCTGCAGATTAGCTAAGTAATGTACTGTACACATTAACGACTTTCGAGCTTTATCGGAAACATATATATTAAAGTCATGTGTTCCCATATAAAATTTAAGCAGTTAAAGAAATAAGGTACAAGGGAAAATTTAAATTAGAAATATATAGATTATAACGTAAAGTTATGTTTGATTGATTCTTTAGTTTTCATATATCAAAGTCTGATTGGTTGTAGCTCGCAGACTGCTCCGACCCGACTACATCGACCTGGAACGACTGCTGTTTCCATGGCAACAGCAGTCGGCCGACCGACTAGTCGTTCCAGTCGGACAGATTTGAAAGGTTAAATATTTGTAGTCTGGTAGCAGCAGTCGGTGAGCTACAGCCAATGAGCTTCGAAGCTATAACCAATCAGAGTTTAGATTTATCCAATCTACGTCGAAGTTAGAAAATGGCGGAAGGTATAGATTTCTCGGAAGCTTTAATAAACGAAGTCAGAACGTGTCCGTGGCTTTACGATATTCGGCGAGCCGATTACAAAGACAACATTAAAAAAAATAATTCTTGGACGGAGATTTCCAAGAAACTAAACGTCGAAGGTACGTGGGTTGACTATATCTAATAAGTTATCGCATTGTAAATGGTCAACATACATTTCAGAATCATTAGTGAAGAAAAGGTGGCAGAATATCCGCGACCAATATAGACGAAAAAATAAAGAGGAGAATCTTCCTAGTGGTTCTGGAGGTCGCAAGAGACAACAATGGGCATATTTTAATATGCTCTCGTTTCTGCGACCAGGCATTGAACAAATAAAGTAAGTTATCTTAGATAATTATTGTATAAATAATCAGATATTTATTCAATTTTTATAATAAAAAATACTTTATCAAATATTTTATTTATTAAGCACAATAAGTAATTTTGTTGAGGAAAAGGAATCTTCCCAAAATCACATAAATCTGGGAGAAGCAAATACAGGAAATAATTCAGGTTTGTTTTAAATATATCCTCTTACTTGACAATATTAAGAAATTAATGTTTGATTCTACAGTTTCTAGTAATTAAAAATTTAATAATCCCACAATAGATATCATACAGAGTATGGTAAAAATTAGTTTTAGGAAATAAATGTGTACCTAGACAAATGATGTAAAATTAAATTTGATCTAAGCTTAATTACTGCTTATA